TAGGATTGCCGACAAAGCAAAAGATCGGCAAGACGAAGTCTCAACAGCCAAGTTTTCGACAACGAAAATGCCGGCACGGTAATACGCTTCGAATTCAAAAGCCTGCCGCACGTAATTTAGGATTAGGATGTCGGTATTTTGGCTGTCGGCATTTTGAGTCTCGATATTTAGGACGTCGGGATTTTCGAAAACGGTATTCCGGCTAGAAAAACCCCAAAAACCCGAAATCCCGCCTCGATCCGGAAAAATCAACGCAAAAATCGTTCGGATGCCGGCATTTTCGGTGTCGGTATTCCGGCCAAAAACCCCTTAAGAAAACCGGAAACCGGATCAACTCGTAAAATCAACCCCAAAATCGATGGCAACGGATCAGGGGGGGCAATTGCTTCTTTTCGAGGTGGGGGAGGAGGTGCTCACAGGGAGGCTGTCTCATTTTTCCGGTGTGGCTTTTGCTGGTGTGCCCACCAGCACCACCAGCAAGGAAAAGCCAGCCCGTTCTCCTTCGTGTTCTCTACCTTTCCGGCTATTTTCCGGGACCCGGGGCCCGTTACACCCTCCCGATCATTCCCACGTAGAGACCCCCTGGAGGGCATGAAGGAGAACATGACGGGAATGTCACTGATGGAAATGGGAGGGGCATATGCCGCAAAATCAGAGAGCGATCGGCCGGTGGGTGATGATGATGCTTGAGCTTTCCGGAAATCGAAATATCGACATTCGGAATTCGGCATTGTGAAATTTCGACAGTATTGAAAGTTCGATATTCAGAATTTCGACAATGAAATATCGACATTCAAACATTTGGAGATTTCGATTTTATGCGATTTCGGCATTTGAAAATATCGACATTGTGAATTCGAGGTTATGAAATGCCGACATTATAAAATATCGCCATTATAAAGTATCGACATCGTGAAATTTCGCAATTGTGAAAGTTCGATTTTTAGGAAACGTCGGCATTAAAAAAACATCGAAATTGTGAATGCACATCTTCTAAATTTCGGCATTCTGAAATTTTGACAAAATTACACAATTTTGACTTTTCGAAATTCGTAAATTTCGGCATTATAAACAACGACATTTTGAATTTCAACACCCTGAAATCGGCCTTCTGAATTTCGACCCTATTAATTTCCATATTTTATAAAATAGTCCTAATTATGCCTAAAATCAAAGATCGCTTCATTAAAATCAGAAACTTCCGCTCCTGAACTTCCAGAATTCCGATGATCAAGTTCATCATCATTCCCCGAGTTCCCATAAATAAGCCTCGAGCCAATTTCACCGGCTGCAAATGCCAGTTGCAAAGAGGAGAGGAGCAGGAGGAGGAGGAGCGCGAGAAGGAGCTAAATCTGGCCCGGTGCCTTGGTTTCTGAAGCTGGGGCTCGGTTTTAATTGAAAGCCGCCCTCGAAGGGGGGCTATTCAATTCGACGGCTTCAATAGAATCTCGAATCAGCTGACGATCCCCCAGAGATCCTGAGAAGGGCTTTACGTCTTCCGCTATCCAGGGGGGAGGACATCTTATAGCATACGGTGACGTGAGGGCGGTGTAGTTTGTAGTTAGTTTGAAAAAGGAAAAGTAGGGCTCGACTTTACTCCGTAGTAAGCACTTCGATGGTACTAGGCGGTTAAGGGGGGGGCGGCTAATTTTTATTTTTCACTTGTTAGTTTTCACAAGTTTTAAGTCGATTTTTACTGATAGAGTGCCATAAAAAATACCTCAAAAAAATTGCAAATTCTGAAAATTTTATCTGTTTGGTCTTGTTCGAAGCTTTAATTTTTTTTCTGAAATCTTTTTGGCGTGCTTTTTCTTTCTAAATAACGCTGTAAATTTCCATAAAATTTTATATTTCGCTATAGGGACGTAAGAATTTAGAGAAAAATGATTTGCAAGAGCGCCGAAGAGAGAGAGAGTGAGAGAGAGTGAGAACGAGAACGAGAGCGAGAACGAGAGCGAGAAAGAGAGAGAGAGCGGAGAGAGAGATATTGAGAGAGAGATGTCTGAAAAGCCAAATCCCCAATAGCTACAAATATCCCAATCTCACACGGCTGTGAAGTGAGTAGCGCGTAGCAAGAAGTAGTAGCTAGCCGCCAGATAAAGGCCGTAAGGGGGAACACGCCGAGGCCACAAATGAGATTGAAATTGGCGTGGAACCAGAGGGAAGTGATGGGGCCATTTTGGGTAGGATGACCACAACGGATTAGCCTTTCGTCAGCTTGGCCACAGCTGCACAACACCACCAGGACCACGCTTCACAATTATTCGTAGTCGTCGGGTAAATTTAAGCCGAACGCTGGCTGGCCGGGGATGATGGAATTTGGGTCCTGGGAGCTGGTGGAACGTAAATAAGGTTTTTTAGCGGCTTTTCGGGGTTTGGAGTTGCCAGAAAACCCTAGGATAATTGCCGTTTAGCCCTAAGATGCCTAAAAAGTTGTGAAAATTTAGCTAAAAAATTGAAAAAACCTAGAATCTGACAGCTAACTCCCATCACGCTGAAAATGGGCCAAAATAGCTTAAAACTAGTTGTTGCGATTTTTAAAAAACGGAGCCCTTTTGCAAAGGGTTTAGGATCAGCCGGGGAGCTCCGGTACTGCAAAATACGCTTAAAAATTGAACAAAAAGCGTGGTTTCGACGCTTTTAGAACCCTGCGATTACCGTAAAAATTCTATGACCAGTCGCGTGATCGCAGACAGATTGGTGAAAATTAGCGTTTTTGGACCGTTTCGTGCCGGGAAAAGTTATACAACGTGTATATTCATTCGAGTGACCTCGGAAAGCGCAAAAAAGGGGTGAAATTGCAGTTTTTGTGCGTTTCTGGGGTAACTTAAAAAACTCTTAAAAAGGCATAATCGCTCCTGAAATTTGAAACCTTTAAAATTCTAGGAAACTTATCCTAAATCGTGATTTTCTATGCTGGTAACGTCGATGACTAATCCCAAAAACTACGCCGAAAATCGCGCACAATTTGCGCTCCCGGGAAACACGCAACCCCCCGCCAAATCTCGGAAATTTCCGAATTCCGGTGGTGGTGGTGGATGGAGGAAGGAGGATGATAATGGGGGCAGCTATTTTCATTTTTTTGTGCCCCTCCTCACCCAATTTAACCCCGCCGGTGCCAAACGCCAGACATAAATCGAGAAATAGAGGAGACCTCCCGGGGGCCACAACAACGATTATGGGTCTCGGGTGGAATGGGATCCAAATTGCGATCATGTGAGTAGGGGATGGTTTTTAAAAAATCTGAATAAAAATGCGGGAGATGCCCCTCGAAATTTGAGACGCTTCACGAAAGGCAGCACAAAAGTAGTAGGAGAATCCTCAGGAAACGGAAAGATCAGTGCTTGTTTTTTTAAATGGGAACCATTGGCCATAAAACTTTGCGATTTTAAAAATCGAAATATAGAGGCGAAAATTGGTTCCGGAAATGGAGCGGCGTTCCCCAAAAAAAAGCCCCAAAAAGTCTCATCAAAATTAAAAGCAAAAGTATCAAATTAAAACCAAAATCCCAAGGCTAACAATAACAACAGCTTCCAAAGAAATAAACAATTTGTAAAAATAACCGCCCAATAAAACGCACTTCATCTCCTCGGCGTTGCATCCGCTCCGCTTGCTGCGTCGCGCGAAGACGAACATCGTCGGTGGCCTCAAAACTTGCGCATCGACATTTCCGGCTCGAAGATCGTTTGTAGTTTATCGAGTTGTAGCCCTAAAACGGTTATTTCTCCAGAAGTAAAACAAAAAACATAAAAAATTTATACCGAAGCGTCAAATTTTCATAATTCTTAAAATTGTTACATTGCAGCTATGAAATTTGTTAGATGATAGTTAAAATTAGATTCATCGCCGTTTTTGTAGTTTTTAGCCGAATTTAAACTTTCCTGGATGAAGTGATAGCTAAAAGAAATATTAGCAAACCTAGCACGGCCGCATTTACTACGCAAACTTTGTTAAACAATACAGATCAAGTTAAACTATTTAATACACACGGTAAGTACAAATTTAAGATATCAGAAAATACTTTATTGCTTACATAATTATAATTAGTGCATTGGCAAAGGCGTGGTAACCGGAAAATTGTTAACTTCCGCTAAAAGCGTTCCCACTAAGCCTGTCGGCATTTCCAGGTCAAATCCACCCCAAAAACGGTAATGTTTCATTTGCGGGGGGTGGCTGTTGAAATGGGGCCCGGAATGGGTCGCGCCCGCCGGGAATTGGCTCATTCAAATTAGCGTCACCCCCTACCACCACGAGAAGCCCCCCTTGTCACCCGTTTTGTTTGTTATTCTGGGTACCCCCTCATTGCTCGCGTTCTTCGCGAGAGGGAGGGCGCCATTTTCTAATTAAATTTTCTGGCCTAAAATTCGGGGGTGGTGGATGATCAAAGCCTATCGAGTGCTTTGGCAGAATCGGAGCTTTGGAAATATCGGGGGGGGGGGGTGGGGTGGGGTGTGTCCTATAAACCCATAATGCCCAACACTTTGTTAGTTTTTGACAAAATTTAGCCATATTTCAAATATTTTTTAGTTAGAAAAACGCACTCTGAATTTTAGCTATTATTCGTCATTTTTAATAACCTTTGTAAGCTTTTTAGATTCAGAAATCCTAAAAAACGGTTGAAACAACTCGTATTTTTATTTTTAGAACCCCGCTAATTCCAAAGCAGAGCATCATATTTTTTCCGCAATAAACCCTGCAGCGTCACTTGCATCAAATTCCAACAACCACACTTGTACCGCTTCTTTATTATTAGCCTGTCTTTGTCGAGGTGAGGGAGAGGACCCGGATAGCGATGAGTTGATGTTTCTGGGGGACGGGAGGAAAAATCACAGGTTTCTAGGGGAGGGGACGGTACAAAAAGCACAGATGAGTACAACAACGTGAGAAATTTACCAAAAAAACATCTAAACACAATCCACAATTATGCACAGAGATTCCACGAAAAGTATGGTGTGGATAGGGGGGAAACAAAGATGATCACAGTGAATTGATGTCCATCACATTCCGTCGCTGCCATCAGAGCTGTTCGTTTGCGAGCTGACGGAAGAGGTCTAAAATTACGAAAGTGTGCATTTTTAGAAAGGATCAATTAAATTTAGAACTTAGACGCAAAAAAACCCCCGGAGCTTTGGCAATATCGGGGGAGCAAGGAATTAAACTTTTGCATATTTACAACAAGCGTCGTAAACGTATAATAGCCAGTTTTTTTTTTGATAAAATTTAGCAATATTTCAAGTAGAAAACTTTGCAGGAAACTTAGTTTGAACTATATAATATTATATTTAAAACTATTATCATTGGTTGAAAAATAATATTTTTTTTGTATTTTTATCAGCAAATTGTTACATTTACGAATAGTAAAGAGTAAAAAAGTGTATAAAAATAAACGCTCCCTATTTATACTAAAAAAATGGATCCTAATAAAAAAGCCCCCCGATACTGCGAAAGGACCAAAACGTCTGCAAACCTTATCTTCATCGCCCTCCAACGTCAGTCCATCCATCATCAGATCGAGGTAGGCGGCCGGCACGACGTCCTCTTGCTGAATCCGCAGCAGTCGCAGGATCTCCTCGGCGCGCTTCGTGCAGGAGCCGGGCTCCTTGGCTGAGCAGGAGATCTACAGAAAATTATAATAATAAGATCTTTAAAAATACCGCAATGTCGACAAACTGCCCGATGTCATCGACGTCGTCCAGGTAGATGCGCACGTCTTCTGCGATGAACACGCGTCGTCGCTTCCGGATAACGCCGAGTTCGCCCAGGGCTGCGGCTAGGGTCGCCTAAAAACGGAAAGTCTAAATCAATGGTTTTTGGACGAAAAAGAGTCTTTTTCTTGCATAACAGGTTCGGTAAAATAAATTCAGTTACACCCCCCCGCTGAGGAATCAGAACCCGTCTAAAAAAATAAAATCATACCCGCATGGAGAACACGTCTTCCACCTCAGTCAACGTCGATGTGCTCAATTTCGGGCCGATCGACTTCTCCGAGCTGTGGTAGATGAGGGCGCCGCAACGCTAAACAAAACAGGTTTCAAAAACCTAGTGCCACTCACGTTAGGGTGCATAATCCGGAGCTTCAGCTGCCCTTGCGGCGTGTTGAAGTAGACATCTTCCTAAAAAAACTTTGCAAGAAGACAAAAACCAATCCAACCTGTGTAAATTGAGTCCCGAGGCTGTCGGTCAGATCGAAAACGGCGGCTTCTACATCCTCCATGTCGCGGACCCGGGCTTTTACCACGATCGACTGCTTGGCTCTAAAAAGATTTTGTAGAACAGAAAATCAAGACTTACTCGTTGGAATTCGCGTTGTATCGCTCAAAGCTGTATTGTAGGTTCAGCATCGTAGGGTGAGCTTTTCTGAAAGTTGTGATGAAGAGGTGATAAATGGGATTTAATAAAGGTAAAACGAAAAGAAAACATTGAAATAGAAATTTCAAAGAAAACGTAATAAACTAATGTAAGAGCCCCCTTTTATCCCTCGTCAAAAACGAATGTGCCTGGCCTGGAACCGTAACCACCTGGCAATTTACCGATAGCACCAAACGGGGCGGTTGCAAAACCCAAGTAACCAGACAAAGGAAACGCCAATCAAAAGCCTAAAGCCGAGCAACACGATTTACCCGCAAGAAAGCACGAAAAATAAGCGCAGGCAGTGCCGCCGGCTCGAGAACTGGTGGGGCGCCGCGACCCGGGAAATGGGGCGGGGAAGGAAGGAGCAGAAAAATCACTTTGTTTACCACCGCCCGGAAAGTGGTCAAGGGGAAGAGCGGGCAGGAATAGCAACAGCCGATGGGCATGGAACTCAAAAAGTTCTCAGAAAAAGGCCCGTCCATTAAACGCAAGGAAAACGGTTCTGGACTATTAGCGGGGGGGGGATATTTTTGGCGTGTGGATCTAATTTTGATCGACCGCCGACCGATTAATTAAATACGCAGTTAAATGCACCATTTATACCGCTACTTACGAAAAAGTTTCTAAAATGAAGGAAAATTATGAAGAATTCAATTTTTTTTCAGCTTCCGAAAAGTCTATTTATGACTGCTAAGTGATAAAAGAAACCGCTAAATACGACAAAAAGCGTTGAAACTCTTTCTAGGCACATACCTCCCCCCGCTAACAGTCCAGTGCCAAGAAAACTACTGAACCTCCGGTCGCCCAGTCCAAAAGCACCAGTTTATCTACGATCACCCGGGCTGTCGCTGGCCTTGCATCAGCCGGCGTTCAGGGCGGCGCCGCCAATCATTTTCTTGCGGCTAAAAAAAGAGGGGGCGAATTTTGAAATAATTTGGAAAGGGAAAAAGAATTCTCAATCTATAGCGTAGCGCTACCTATACAACGTAGCGCGACAAAATAAGCAAACACAAGCCGCTTTTGCGATCGCGCCAACAACAACTCGCGTCACTGTAAATAGGCAAATATTCCCGCATTTTTTACCTTTACTCCCAAAATGTTTTCTTTCCCCAATAGCGAAACTGGCCTACATCAAATCCCAAAACGATATCAATCAATCCCGTCAGAGGTCATCGGTTCTCGCTGCTGACCTTTTGCATCAGCTGTGTTTACGGGCACACCAGCTTCCCCACCCAATTTCCTTGAAGCCCCACCGGCTATCGGAGCTTTTCCGGAATTTTTGCCGGAAAAACAAGGGATCGGCACAAACGAAGGTCATAAAACCCCCCGCAAATGGGCTACCTATCGCTTTCTTTTTCTGGTTCCGATAACAGGCTTGCCACGAACGCCGTTCGGGGCGCCGAAAAAAGCGGCCAACTGCTTTTTGCTGCCAGTTGGGGAGGCAGGTATCGAAAACAAGAAAGCAAGATATGGCATAATTTTTAGAAGAAGCAGAATACATGTAAAGGACAACCGGATAAAAATCACGGGAATCGGCTTCCAAATAAGTTTCATAACAATGCGCCCGGCTTCAGAAATAGATTCACACAGGCCCCACGTGGGGTCGATACAGGGCCAGGAAAACTGATCAGCATAGTGGAAAAGGGGGAAAGAGCAAAAAGGAAAAGTGCAGCCCTCTCCAAATCTTCCATGCGATCTGGGGCTTCCCCTGTAAACATGTCAAAAAGGCGCAAGGGAACTCGTTCCCTGTTTCATAAAACGTGCGAGGGTTGGAGCAACATTGGAGGTAGCGTTAGAAAAATTTCCTCTTGACCTCTAATTGATAGATTGTGAATTCTAGTTTCTTCTAACGTTCATTTCGAGCGATTTTATAAAGTAACAGAATTGACAGCTTAGCAATGATTTTCTGATCACTAACGTCTAGTTTTAGAGATTTCATAAAAGAAAACTGTACAGTTAGCGTAGCGAAAAATTGAGAACACAAGAATAAAAAAAGACAATCGCAACACAACCCACGCCCCTCTTATTATTATACACAACGGACGGTGATAAGTTTTTTCATTGATACGTCCAGGTCCGATAAGAGGCTGCACTTTTTGCTAAGAGTCCAGCGCCCCCAGCAGTACTCTAATAAACATATTTGGCTTTTCTGGTGTACCCGAATCGAGAAATACGGGAGTGAATAGAAAAACCGCTCCAAATGGACTCAATGCCGCCGAAACACGCCAAATGTATGACGGCAAAGATAGGCTTCCGCAAGGGTACAAGGTCCACATGGCTAGTCACTCCTCTTCCGCCACTATTTGCCGCTTGAGCTCATTGCGTTGAGCACACACCGACCGCCAGCTGACGAGCAGACTACGAAAAGTAGAGGTTCTCCATTTGCGGAACCGAGGGTCGGATCACCCGCATCAAAATGATGCGACAAGGCTGAAAAGGGGTAAAATCTATTGAAAAGTTGTTGCTAATTTGTATTTAAGTTTCTAAAATCGTTTCTTAATAATTTAGTTCAATAAATTCTAATTTTTTGATAATAATCGCAGAAAGATTTTGTAATTAAAAATCAATATTTCCAGCGAGTACGCTTACACCACTTCACGGAGACCGGAACTTGGATTGCGGCGTTCACCGAAATTTTCTATTTTCCAATTTTTCAAATCTTTTATTTAATTTTTCTAAAACTTCTAGATCTAGGCACTTTTCCGTTTTCGCGGTCTTTGTAGTTTTGAAACCTTCTAACCCGTTTTCCATTTATAAGCTCCAAATTTTTGGTTGCTGACCCCGAAAAAGCGAAATCTTCGTACCTTCCTTCCTTTGTCTTCCAGAAAGGCATAGAAATTTGAAAGCCGCTAACGTGCTCACCAAGTGCCGAAAAACAACAAGCGCAACGAAAGGCTAAGCGCGGCACTTGCCCAAGATGCACCGATCCTCGTCCCGAAAACACACAGTTCACCCGGCGCTTATCGCGACGGTCAATTGTTCTATAGGTTTTCGGTAGGGCTATTTGCACGTCCGTGCCCCTGGTATCAGTATGACGAAACCAGGGGGCCGGGTTGCTTTTCGATGCTCTTCGAAAGGTTTTCCCGGCCATTGACATGGTCAAATTGATAGCCAGGGCGGTGGATGGGCGAGCGAGAGCGGGTGGGGGATCTCCACCGCTCGCGGGTTCACGTGAAATGGATGGTGGTCGTTAGGTGTTCGCAAAAATTGCAGGGGTGTATGTGTACATGTTTTGCGGTAGGGTTTGCAGGGAATTTTAATAAGAACGGGTAAGGTGCGGTTTTTTATGGTATATGTTAGAAGTCACGGATCCCTGAATGAGGCGAAGTAATGTGATAGAATATAATTTAAAGCTAAAGATAGTGGATACGCTGTGTAGCCGACGGGGTTTCCCCTCGATGACTCGTCGAGGCCAGTTGTCCGTTGGTGCACGTGAAAGACATGGCGGACGTTTGGGAGGACAATGTCCGTGCTGGAACCGCCACTGATTAGACTCGTCGGTCTGTGCTATTCCTTGCACCCCGATGAGTCGACCAATTTGTCACCACGCCTATTAAGGGGTGAATAGAATTGAGAAGTGGGTGGGAATTGAGAATAGAAAACTGTGCTTTTTGTAATCTGTCCCTGGGGGTCTAGGAAGGTCCTTGTGCGTTATCGGGGGAAGCTCAAATTTTTCCTGTCCAGATATGCCTAGTTAAAAAGAAGTTAATCTTGTTTTTAGCCGAATTTATATTTAAACCTAAAGACAATTTAGAAACTTGGAAAAATGTTTTAAAAGTCGGAAGTTTTAGCCGGAAATGCCTTTTTTGTATGTTTATCGACATTTGTAGTTTTTCCCAGCCTCCCCCCCCCCTCCCGATAAGGAGAAAGAATCCTAGTAGGTACTTTTTGTAATTAGTAAATTTAATAAGCGATCATTTGTTCTTCTTTGTTTCATCTTTTATTCTCATCACGCTCATCACCCGAATATTTCCGGATATTCGTCGCCGAGGACCCGTTGTCGTATACCTTGAAGCCGCCCACATCCGCCTAGAAAGTGAACCCAATTTTTGCCTTTCGAAAAAGCGTTATTTTTTGTTTTGGAAGCCATTTAACCTACCGTATCCCTGTGATCACCCTCGTGCTCCTCGCTTTTTCTGCGGCGCTTGTTCTGCTGGCTATACGCGAGCTTGAGGGCGTCGCGAAGCATTTGTTCTTTTTCCTGGATCTTTTGCTCGAGGGCACGTCTTGAAAGCGAGGTTTACGTATAAAAAAACGTAAACTTACTTTAGTAATTGTCTCCCAAGTGCCGTGCTAATTCCTGCTGGACCTGCAGGGGCTGACCGGGAGCCTGCGGCTAGTTTTGGCGGGCCAGACGATGGGTTTTCATCCTAAAAATTCGTTCACAACCTTACTACGCCAATTTTTGCGCTATTTTTTCTCTAGCTCACCTGGGATGGCCCTCCACGAACCGTATGGCCGCTGGCGGTGCTACTCGCGCTGCTATGTGCCTAAATCGTGGATTTTTTCAGAATATTTCCTGTTTTTCTTGAGAGTCCGTTTCAAAACTAACAACCGGCGTCAGCGTGCCATCTGGCTCGTCATCGTCCTCGTCGTCAGAAGCGCTGGCTTTTTGCCGGATTTGCGTGAATTTAGTCGAGGGCCCGGCTTCGGCTTCAGTGGCTTCTGAAGCGCGCACGATGCCGGGGGTCTCGAGCGCGGCGTAGTGGTCTTCTGATGTTGAGGGCTCGTCTTTGTACCCGGGTTGGCCGAGCTCTTCTGAGACGTCTTCGATAGGGCTAAAATCTCAGTCGTCCAGGACAAAAAATAGTGCTAGAAAATAGCTACATTTTTATCGCATTTTTAACTGCAGAAAAATGCTTTTTCAAAAAATAATATTTTTAAACGATCGTTTATGACAAAAAAAACTTGTGTAGCTGAAGCGTAGTGTTAGAAAACGCCACCAATTCCCGGAAAACACAAAAAATATTTATTAAACACGTAAAGCACAGGTTAGAGCGGGTGACCAGAAAGTGACTCAAGTTAGTGAAGTGACTAGAAGGTGAATAAAAACAGTACGGTAGAGTTTTTGAGCAAGATTTTGAGGACTGTTCGAGATATTGCTACCACCTACTCCGTGAAAAAAGACAGATACAGTTATTTAATCAAAATTATAGATTTAAAAGCCACAAAAGCAGTAAAAAGACGTGGAAAAATCATTTTTAGATTTTCTGGGTTTTTAAGTATAGCACGGACTAGTATTTTTAAGCTGACTAGATTTTTGATGGCACAAGAAAAAAGAAATCAACAAATAAATAATAAGCCAAAAATTCTAAACGAATAGCATTAATGTTAGTACAAGCGTGGCCGGCGCAGAAATCCGGCGCCATCTACCGTGTATTATATGGCCCGCGCAGCGTCTCGAAATGCCTGGCCTCCTGGTCGAGCGCCTCGACGAGCTCTTCGGCGTTGAGGCGCTCAATCGCTTCCGCGTCGAATGACACCTAGGATTAATAGTTTTTTCGAAACTCGCCGAACTTGCCGTTTGATCAGCGACGGGCTCGGTGGCCTTGTCGTGGTAGGAGGAGAAGAAGGGGTGGGCCAGGGCTTCTTCGGCTGTCCACCGGTCCCACGGCGCGACGGCGAGCAGCTAGATTCAAGAATAGTGGGAACTGGTCTGTTAGCCGGGGGGGGTTGGGTACTACTAAAACTACTAGAAAATGGTGGGGGGAAATCAAAATTAGCCTCCACCTCGCTAAAATCCCCCCCCCGTTAACAGCCCAGTACCAAAATATTGATCGAAAATATATTCTAACATTTCTGAAAATGTCGACAGCTTTCGGGTTGACGGGATTCCGGCCGAACGGGTCGAGGATGCGGTCCCAAGGGATCCCCTCTGGTCGCCCGCAATCGTCGATCCACCGCTTGACCACCTCGGAGGTGATGCGCTCGCGGATCTGGGGGAAAAATATGAATTACCGATCGATAGAGCTATTAATAAAATCTGAATGATAAATAATTAAATTGTTACCTGTCTGGGCGGTGGCCCCAGGTAGTGGACGATCAGTTTCACTTGGCATTTGCTGTCCCGTCCGGGGAACAACTGCTTACGGGTGATCAGCTCCCCAAGGATACACCCAGCCGACCAGATGTCCACCCTAAAAGGCAGTCAATTAACTTTAGAAAATTCGCCTTACTTTGTATCGTAATCAATCATCGAAAAGAGCAACTCCGGCGCGCGGTACCACCGGGTGGAGACGTATTGCTAAAAGGAGCTTATCCTAAAGAGCTTGAACACTCACCGTCATCCCATTGCCCGGCTCTTGTAGCTGATCAATCGACCGTGCCATCCCGAAATCACCGATTTTCAGCAGGCAGTCGCTGTTCACAAAAATGTTGGACGGCTTCAGGTCGCGGTGCACGATACCGACAGAGTGGATATACTGCAAAAATGGGCTTTTAAAGGCATGAAAATCACGTACCTTTAACCCGCGTAGAATCTGATATAAGAAATATGAATGGTGTTCATCACAGAGAGGCTGGCCGCCGTGGATGATCTCGTGCAGGTCGGCCTCCATCAGGTCGAGCACCAGGTAGATGTCACGGCCCTGAAAAGCAGGAATTAGCAAGGAAATACGCCTAATTTAATGAAACGATTATAAACTAGAAAAATACAGTGATTAAAAATATAGAACTTTTTGCCTACCCGATGGCCCTGGGCGGTGAACATGTCGAGGACGGGCACGATATTTTCGTGCGCCAAATCGCGAAGAATTCGCACCTGAAATTTATCAAAAAAAAAAATAAAAAAATAGAAAGTACCAGGGTTGAAAAACCGCTTCGCGGCTTTTCAACCCTGGCCCCGTCTTCTCCAATGATATTCTGGGCTTTGCATAATTTTCCCGGATTCGGATGACAAAAAATGAAAAATGCTCTCGCCGTCTCTCTATATAGGCTACCGCGACTTCCGGTGCATGCTAATTTGATCCTAACAAACTGGGGTGTCCGATTTTCCATGAAAAACTTAATTTTAACGTCGAAAACATCATATTTTATAAAATCTAATGTGTGTGCAGTCATCTCCAGCCCATTACGCACCTAATGACGGATCGAACATACCCCTAAGTGCTTCCCTTCTTCAGATACTAATGGAACACGGTGACGGAAGTTGCATGCAAATGACACACACACACACACACACACAGACACTATTTTTTATATATAGTAGGATAATGCATAGAATAGTATAACTAGTGTTCTTATAAAAGATAAGATTAAAAATGCAAACTACCACCTCTCGAAGCGTGCGCTTCGCCAGCGTGACGGCCGTAAAAGCGCGGGGTATCCGCTTTATGGCAACATGTCGATTGAGCGCCTAAATATTGAGTAAATATTAAAATTTTAATAATTATATATTCTCTTACACTTTCAATTTTAGTGATTAATTAATTTAACTATTTATTATTTTTACCCTATTAACTCACCGTATCTAAAGCCTTGCAGACGACCCCGTACGCGCCGCGCCCAATGTTCTCAACCGTCCGATAGGGGGTGCCCTCGAGCCGGAATTGTTCGCCTAGCCGGGCTTCCTGTAGATCCTGAATCGAATCGAGACATACCGTTTCTTTAATACAAATGTATGAAGTATTAAACCTTTATTAAATATCCATAATTCAGTTTTATTTCATATTAAATATTAAAATTATTTGATTACATTAAAATAGCTTACCGCTAACGTTCCCATCTACACCTCTGGCCGCCAGCTACGTCAACATAAGGGCTCCAGATTTCCAAAGTATTTTTGAGGTTTTGCCGAGAGCTAAAGCTTAAAATTAGAAAAATAACGTCAGACAAAGATAGAAAAAGAAAAGATATTATTGAGCCCGGAAAGAAAGATGACAATGTGGTCTATAAGGGGGTTATGTTCATTTTTCCTAAATTCATTTTTCCTAAAAGTCATTTTTCCTAAAGTTCATTTTTCCTAAAATTTTTCCTTCAATAGGCTTGCGTAAAAATATCAAGAAATTCCAAATGCTATCATTTTTAGCAGTATTTGTTTGGTTTGGTTATTAGTAGGCTTTTATCGAAAATCTTTCTTATTATCATTGATCCTTTTCACTTCCAATCACCCAAATCTAGGCTAAACGCGCAACTAAAATACTTCCTATGATCACTCTAGGCAGATCTGACCTTGTTCTAAAAAAATTTTCTATTTTCTCATGCATATACATTTTTAGGAAAAAATGACTTTTAGGAAAAATGACTTTTAGGAAAAATGACTTTTAGGAAAAATGACTTTTAGGAAAAATGAATTTAGGAAAAATGAATTTAGGAAAAATGAATTTAGGAAAAATGATTTTTAGGAAAAATGACTGGAATTCCTATAAGGCATTTTATAGCATTCTATTCACTCGTTATGCTTAATAATAGCTTTCTAATTTTTATTCCATCTGAATGGACAGGTTTGCTGATAAAAGCAAATACTTTTTGAGGCCTTAAAATAAGGTTTTGCTGTCGAACGCGATAAAAAAACTTAAACAAACGCTGCTAAAAAAGAACTGATTGTCGTCTGCCCGAAATAACACAACCTTTTTTGTTTAAAATAACGTTTTAAAAACCCAGAAATAATAGAACTTTGACAACTAAAATTTGTAACCAAAAAACCTGATTCCCAAATCGATCGGCAAGCCGCAATCAGTCTAATAAGCGTCAGAAAAAGCTGTACAATCTCCAAGGCTAAAACTTCTAACGAAAAACGCATAGTTTTCTGATTTTAACTTTTATTTTAATTTACGTTGCTATTTAACGACTAAATAAATAGCCTCATTCTTTTCTAACGCTCTATAGCCTGTAATATAACGTTTTAAACCCGAATAATTAGCAGAACTTTGAAAACTAAAGCTTCTAAACCACAAAAACGCATCCCCAAATCGATTGGCATGCCGCCATCAGCCCTAATAAGCCGCATTCAGTCAGCCAGGCGAGGACGGTTAGTGACGATAAGAGGCGAAGAACAGGGGGTGACGGAGGCAAAAAAGGCAAAAAAAAGAGGGCAGAAGAAGACGAGGAGGCGCACACGCATTTGCATCACATCTTATCACAACGCACTCGTGCTCCCTGGCCGAGCATGACTCGAGCAAGGTCAGCAGCGCCCCCAAGGCGAATTCGTGTAATTAGACTCCAGATCGTTGGCTTCAATTTGGATGGGGTAGTCAGTTTTTTGTGTGTGGCAAATCAAGGTCAAGTCAGAGGGATGTTGCAGCAAAACACAGATGGAATTTTTAGCGGGATTGTGACCGGTTAATTTGGCAATTTTCAAAGCTTTACATGTAGATTTTCTACGTAGAAACCTACAAAACCTAGAAACACATTTATAATCGGATTTTAGAAAAAAAACTACATCTTAGAAAACTTCGAAAAAAAGACATTTTTTCCTTTAGATTGTATTTTTTAAGGTGTCGCCGAAAATCGATAAATGTGGTTTATTTTTTGCAAAACTAGTTGTTTCTACTTTTGCAGAATAGCAAAAAAACGGTGTATAACTCCCTCATGAATTTATACCAGCAAAATTGGGCGTAGCCCCCCCCCCCGATAATGCAATAATTCCGATTTCTCAACGAAGTTTTAGAATAGAAATTACAATTTCAACAATTTAATTTATTGAAAATTTAAATCGAAAAAGACTAAGAAATGTGCAAATTATCAAGACAAATCCTGGGATTTTATTTAATTTTCTCTTTAAGCGGTTAGTCGATGTAATTGTGTGCTCAAATACTGCTACTTATCGAAATCGACAAGCCCGGTTCAAGAAGCCCTAAAAACGGCGTGAATTATCAAGACGACCGCTGCGATCAGGCGTACAACTGTTTGCCCGGCGCACTCGAGTCAAAAAGAGCGCAGCAGGGTATGACAACCCGGGCTGCTCGAGAGCCCGTGCTGACAAATCCGATTCCCTAAAGAACATTCATCAGTGAATTAAGATAATTCCAACGGCAACAAATCAAAAATTAACCCCAAGACTTGTTAACCCCTTTAATATTGACCCGTCATTCCCGAATCAACGCCAACCGCCGAAAATCGACCAAACCACGGCCCAGAAAATTACCCAGAAAGTACAATGGTCTGCCGTGCCGAGGAAGTGATCGATAAGAAAGCATCTTCTCCTTCTTCTTCTTTCTCTCCACCTCCTCCTCGGCTGACCGGCGGGAGAGAAAGACCGAGTAAGGACTTTCCCCCTCTATAGCCAACCCCAGCCGAGCCCGAAATGCCAAATTTTGCGCCGATGGATCCGGGAGAAAAGCGCGTGGAACGAAGGCTGACTGTTACCATCCGAAAATAATCAATGAGGCCGGGAGGCGGTGCGAGGGCATATCCAGCTACAGATAGCAATTAAAAATCGAATCCGGTTTCTGTCGCAATATCGGGGGGGAGGGGACGCAAACTTCTTCCATAACCTTCAAGGATTTTCTGAAAATTCGGGCCAGCTTTTATAACATTTGTTATGATTCCGAATGTCAAAAAAAATCAAAATTTTCATTAAAATATAAAAATAGTTCTCGACCAAGGACCGATTTTTAGGAAAAAAATTTTAATAGAACAATTTCCAATTTTTCATAAGCGTTGTTCTACTCGAAATTATGAATACATTTTAAGAAAACTATGAAAATACTTCATAGGGCATAAGCAGGCATACCTTTACTTTCAGATACCCCCCCCCCCCCCCGATATTACGAAAGCACCCAAATATGATGATTACCTCTGCTTAAATTTTTATAAAAACCCGTGTGCTTTGCTGAATAAACATTTATTTCGGAAAAGTAAAAAAATGCCCAAAACAACGAAACAATGCCATGTGAAAGGGTTGTGTTTGGGGGGGTACCCGCGGGTCAGGATAAGGAGGCCACGTCCCAGCATTGACTAGGAAGTATATGATAATTTAATCGTGGTTGGCGGCGGTCGGCCCGCCAAAGCCGGCGAAGTAGCGATGAGAAAATTTACAGAGATTGCAATACATGTGTAGCACCAGGAGCGCAAAGAAGAGGAGTCGGGCAACGAAAAAATATTTTAGTTCTTCTTAGGTCTAGACCGCTTTTTCTGTCCATTATGCTGGCGGGTGCCGCCAGAAGGCTGTTTGCCGTGTTGGTCGTTGTAGAAATCGCAATTCGCAGCGACGCGTCTGAATTGTTTTACATTGTATGGGTGCAAAATGGAGACCATGCGCGTTGGCCAGAGAAATCCATTTTTAAGGATACCAATAAGGGGGCGATAGTCGTTCCGCAAATAACTTTTTCAAAGATCAAGATTTTGGAATCAGAACTTCTAAAGACCGCCATGTTTCTTCCTGATTCCTTATCGCCTTTTCCTATTGGTAGCCGCCGGACGCAAATGCACGACTGATTTCCGAAAACTGAACTTTTGATAAAATGAGCTTTTCGAAGAAAAATCTAAATTCGAAAAGTATTTTCAAACATGTTTATGAAAATCATACCATGTATGCAAATTTCAAGTTTCAAAAACAAACATTTATAACCCGAAATCTCACCGCACCAACCAACAACCCTTACACCAGCTTTGACCGGAAGTGTAAACTAACAACATAAGTAAAATCTCCTAGGGGTGAATAACAAATGTGAAATTTTCGGAAAAAATGAATGGGCTAACAATTTGCTCAGCCAATGCTCTGGGTGACCCCGACTACCCATCCTCCACCGCCAGTATAACCCCGGGGGGCCTCACAAACCCACTGGAAATCGGGGGGCGGCATCGTATTTATCGACATCAACGGCAGCGGGGCCGGCTGAACGGGGGCTGGCTGCTGGCTGGCTGGCAGGTAGTAGATTGCAGAGTTCGAAGGGGCCGCGGAATAACTGAAAAAAACAAGGTACTAATAAGGTACTGTTTTAAGCTAATAAATCAGTTTTTTGAGCCATCCTGAAAACGGTTCGATACAAAGCGATTCAAAGGGCAACTGAATTTTGAACCACACTGAGTGCCTTTGCAAAATGACATTCCCTCATTTGATAAAATCTAAGAAGGTAAGATTTCGGCTTTTTAGTTTTATAAAACGGGGTAAGTCATTTTACCAAAATAAACCCTCGACCAGTGTTGAAAATTTAATTCTCTATCCAATGAGACAGCTCTCGAACCGATCCCAAGATGGCTCAAAAAAGCAATCTCTATAATAGACGAAGAATGCCACTGACCACTGACTAGCTCCAGGTACAACATGGTGTGGCGGCGGTTTAGAAGGATCGAAATACACCGGCTGCCCAGGACTGCGAGGGTGCTGCTAAATCGAATTAAAAGTATGCGATATCATGACCATAACCTACCCCAGCAACAATGTATTCCCCAGGGCGATGATGGCCGTATTCCATTGGAGCGGTACCAGCACACGGTGTCTAAAACAACCATAATTTGACAATACTTCGTTAACTACCACATTATAGCCCTGCTGATACTCGTTCGGGGTAGGGCCGGCGAATCCCTGAAAGAAAAATAAACTATCAAAAAAATTCGTACTGAAGATCCAATATATGCGGCAGGGTATGGCTGAGGGAAGGGCTGCGACTGAAAAAATACATTTAGTTCTTATATTCATCAGCATCCCAGATTTTGCCAGAACCAGAGAAAAAAAAAAGCCTAAAGCGCCTAGCAGGAGTCGTTTCTAGGTGCTGATGGAATTTCACAGCAAGAAATAGCTTATTCGAAAGAACTTTATATTCTGACCAAGCCTCATCCTTCAAAAAATTCTGGAAAATTCGAGAAATTGACGTTCGAATTTATACTTTGTTAAGTGTGCACAAAAGGTAGCTTCTGAGCTATTTTGCTCGAATATGGTAATCGTTCAGTAGTTTTTGAACAGGGACCTATTCAGAATTTGAAGTCCGAACGCGTTAGCTATATCTCGCTGCAGTCCGTTATCAACTAAAACATCAATTGCTAGATAAAAAGTTACGGAAAATCCCAACCAGCAGGCGCAAAAACCGATTTCCAAACTTCTCCTTCATGCCCAAACCAATCCCACACCACACGGACCTGCACCATTTGAACCTGGGTGACGCTGATGATCTGCGACGGCGACGGCTGAGGGTGCGGGGGTGTATACTGGGAGGACACCACGAGATACGGGTTCGGCATGTTGTTCAACAAATGCGGCGGGACCGGCATCAGGTGCTCGTAATCGTCGGAGATGTTCGTTTGGTCGCCGCACATCTCATCCATCGGCGGGGTGTCTTGGCGCGGGCAAAACGGCGGAGCCGATGCATTAAACTTGATGGCTTTCTGCGGTGGGATAGGTGTGGGAAACGACGGCTTCGAGGTGATGTTGTTGCGCATCGGCTCCTCGGCTACCCGTGTACCTTGCCATGCAGTCCCGTCTAACATCGCCCCATAATGGTTTGGCATTGTGATTGGAGACGTGTAGCCGTTGTGGAAGGGGTTAGCCTAAACGGGGGTGTGTGCATTCACGTCAGGGCAGGCAGGATACAGGGTAAGGCTTCCCGACGGGCTAGGATTTAGCGAGAACTATGGTAAAACACATGCAACTATCCACACCACTACAAGCAATGGGGTATCAACGAAAACAAGAGAGCGAGCGCACAAGCTAATGCAAAATTCGCGAAACAAAGTATCGACTTTTTAGTGCTTTAGTGCTGCTAGTAAATCCGGCATTTTGGCACCAAACCCTCAGGAATAACGACAAACCTGCATATGCTGCATTGGAACCTGTTGAAAGCCTGGAGGCTGGCGCAACGGGATCTGCGTGTTGCCGCGCGTAGGGGCCGGACGAACCCTATCAACATTGTATTACGTAAAACACCAATGTCCCTACGTAACGACTTCCGGGCTCTTGCTCCTAGGCGGCGGATTAAGCACCGGCGCCGGTGTAGGCTCGGCTTCGGGTTTGTAGTCCTCGCCAAAGATTCGCGTCCGTGCCTTGTGGTAGTCGGCCGTACGCTCCTAAATTAATGGATGAATTTCGAGGAATCCAGTGAAACCTCCAAAGATTTTTGTGGCTTTTTGTTGGCCTCCTCATCCGGCTCGATCTTGGGAGCATCGGCCTTGCGGCGCATGAGTTTCATCTGGATCGGAGGGGAAGTGTCTCGACCTTCCGTGGAGAGCCTAAAAGCGTGAATGTAGATGGGTAAACTGAGGCGGTCGAAAATCAAAAAAATCGTACCCCATCGCAACCCGACGTTCCTTTTCAATTCGATCCACTTCCAATTTCTCATCCTTTTCCTTCTGCGTGCGTTCAGCAAGGGCTTTGCGCTCGGCGTCGCTGCGTTTCATAATTTGTACCTAATCCTCAGATTTAATTTCCACGCCAGGCACACCGGTACTATTCAAGTTAGGGGGGGCAAAATTTTTTGGAGCCATTTTTGAGCTACCTGGGGCCAGTTTTTTGCGGCTAATCCAGCTTAAGACTCAACTCCTAGGCTAAGCTAAGATGAAGCTCAGTCAAATTGAGCTCCAACAAAGCTAAGCCCAAGCCAAAATCAGTGAAGCTGTGCCAAAGCCAAGCTACAGCGAGGGTACTTCACCCCGCCCAGAAGCTAAGCCTAAGCCTAGGCTAAGTTAGGTCTAAATCTAGGGTAAGCTAAGCCGAAGCCAAAGCTAAGCCGATACTAACTAGGGAAGTGCAAATAAAAAACCCAGCAAACCGCTTAGCAAAAATATGGGTCTGATAGAGTCGGCGACGGGCATTCCGAAACTGCAATCAGAATTTGCTAAACGCTTAATACAAAATAGTTATGAGCATTTTAATTTTTGCACGACATTATCCGCCGTCCCTTATGAGCCCCACCCAAAGATAGGTGTCCGCCTGTCGAGTGGTGTAGTGGCTAACTAGTTTGCCTCTGGGGCGGAGGGTCTCTGGTTCGACTCCCCGGTCATGCAAAACTTTTTGCTTCTTGGCCAAAGTCAACAACTTTAGACTTTTTCAAAGTTTCGAAGTCCGAAATTTAGATTTTTTAAAAATTTTCTTTATTATTGACTGCGTGTAGGCCTGCCTTACGAAAAAATAGAAGTGAATTTTTTTAGTGCCCTATCCGCAAGAGTACTGACACTCCCGCCACCACTTTGCAATCAATTTCATAAATTTAAAAATTAAGAGAACGACCTTTTCGACTTCGAAACTTTGAAAAAGTCAAAAGTTGTTGACTTTGACCAAAAAGCAAAAAGTTTTGCATGACCGGGGAGTCGAACCAGAGACCATCCGCCCCAGAGGCATCCTAGTTAGCCACTACACCACTCGACAGGCGGACACCCATCTTTGGGAGGGGCTCATAAGGGAGGGCGGAGAATGTAGTGCAAAACTTAAAATGCTCATAACTATTTTGTATTAAGCGTTTAGCAAATTCTGATTGCAGTTTCGGAATGCCCGTCGCCGACTCTATCAGACCCATATTTTTGCTAAGCGGTTTGCTGGGTTTTTTATTTGCACTTCCCTAGTAAGCTAAGCTAAACCTAAGCCAAAGAAAAAACCGAAGAAAAGAGACTGGAAATAGGCGAAAAAAATTTTGCCCCCCTTAACTTCAATAGTACCGACACACCTGTTTCATCTTCTCCGCCAAAACTTCTACTGCCTTGTCCGGGTTGTCTTCCCATGAATCGGCGACCTAAAAATAATATTTTTTTCCAATAATCAGCAATTTACTTCAGCCGAATCGTAGTTGCCAGTGTCGAGCGACATAGCACTACTTCCAGGGTGGATATTTACCTGAAACATTTTACCGTCATAAGAAGGCCAAAAATCAACGAATGAAATGGAAAACAAACAAAAGATCAACATAATAACGCTCTAGTTGCTAACTATCAAAAACAGAGATCACAATCAGACAAAGGCACATAATCTTTCGTAGTTGTAAGGGTTGTATCCGGCGAGTTCACGGATTTGTATTCGCCCGACGTTGTTCTGGGCCCCTTGGGTGGTTAGCCAGCCTTTCTCCATATAGTAGTCGTAGCTAAAAGTCAAATATAGGTGTAAAAATAGAAAGCCTACATGGTGTCGGTCTCTTCCTTAGTGTACAAAAGGGTTTCAATCGGGATGAACGGATCTATGAAATCAAATCCCTCATCTCCGAAGAGTTCGAGTGGCGTGTTCAACGGAACCGTCAACTTGTCATGGACATCAGAAATCTAAAACGAATTTCATTGTGGAAAAAGGATATATGCCTCCTTCTTGTCGGCGACCAACAGCGTGGCACCATTGCTCCATTCGTTTGTCAAGAGATTACTAAAAAAAATCCGTAAATTTCCAATTTTATTTGGCTGACCGATAGTGATTGACGAGGGCCAGCTCGTGAGGTTTAGCATAAGTTCGATCAGCCTTCTTCACCAAAGTTTTCCCCCATAATGAATTGGCGTCATCGATGGCCACGAGCACCTAAAAATAATCTATTCTTGAACCGCATAAAATCAAAACCTTAATTTCACCGCTGGAAGCATAATGTTTCAATTCGCGGAACAAGGCTCCTACACAATCTGTGGCCAGATATGGGGCCGACAAGCCCATTTCTGCGATCTCGGTAATTGGTTTTCCTAAATTAAAATATAAAACTTCCTTTTGTACAAAACCTTTTTCAGTCTTGTCGTTTTTCGTCCAAATGTACTCCTTGCTCGTTTGAAGCTCGGCCAACCTAAAATGGATAAAAATCGGAGCCTAAAAGAATACCGTTTCCAGAGCGGCGCGTTCTGATGCTTGAAAACTTGTAGGATTTCAGTGGCTCGGCTTGGGTCGTTGATCCGCCCGGTGATATAGGACGACATCTCCACTTCTTTCACCTTAAAATAGAATGCGTTCCATTCAAAAAGTTTTATTTACCCTCCTGGTAATCTCGGTGGCCGACTTTTGATAAATGATGACCCAGCCATCAGTGTGAGCCAGATGGACAGCCTAAAAAGTTTAGCTCATCAAAAAAGGTTTTTGATACCTGATGCAGTGTCATAGATTTCCCAGTGCCGAAGGGGCCCCAAAGGCAGATCCGGATAGCCGGAAAGGTCGGACGGGCGACTTTGATTATGTTGGAGACCTCCAGTAACGGTTGGCGAATCATGCTGACGCATTCTCCAAGCGTTTGCACCTAAAGCATAAAAATAGAAAAGCTGGGCAAGATACCTGCTTGACCATGGTTGAGGGCAGGAATTTGTTGAAGTGTAGGCGCTCGCATTGGTCCTGAAGGTAATAAGTATTAATTTTGAGTAATAAGTAAGTAAGAAACACCAATAAAACCGTTCTAACGCCCTAACTAGGCCTTACTTCCTGGCAAACCCAAGACTAGATAACTCCAAAAACGTGATATTAGAGGAAATATCACAATTTCAATACTTTCGTTTTTGTACTAAAAGTCGGATCACGATCTAAATCTCACCTTGGGTATCTCATACAACTGCCCGGCATTCTCGAGCCCGAATTGGGCTGGTGGTAGCGTGCAAGCCGTGTAGGCTCTTTTGGAGACGTTCAGCAGCCACCGCCCGCGCCGCATTCTGAGTCGCCTGAACAGGAGTGCAATTTCCACAAATTCCAACAGAATAGATGACAAAATGGAAGTGAAACTTGGCGGATAGAATGCACCGAGAAGCCGAAAGGCCTCGGGCGGTCTGAGGTCTTTTGCTGCAGAGACGCAGTATTGGCAGGCTGGGGGCCGCGGGAAAAGAGCAGGGTATTGTGAGACAAGGTTGAGGTCAGCGGGTAGTTTTGATCGCCGGAACTAACCTTGCAACATTTTAAATGAAAACTAATGTAAAAAGTAATGAAAATTAATAGAAAAATTAGAAAATAATAGAAAAATGTCATAAAAAAGCAATGCATTTGCAAAAATCTCCGTCTGTCCGATGTTACAATAGACGCTTCGCGTATTTAGGCGTCTCTGGTACTATAGATCTTGGCAAAAAATTGTGCCTATTTTCAACCTTTTTTTCTATTTTTTAATGATCGAATTTTTCTAAAGTTTGCCTTTATTTGGCTTTATCGATTTTCAACGGCCTTTTTTGCAAGTTAGGCGTTATAATCCCATTTTTAACTTTAACTTGGCTACTATGCTAAATCCTTCTTTCTAGGTGATGAGCGACACCGAGGGCTCGGCGCCCAGGCGAGCAAACCTAGCCGACGAAAATGATGAGAGGTAGAAGTTATGATCATTTTCATTATCACATTATTAGGGAAAACCTCGAAGAACAAAACGCGGACGCCGATCGTGCCATCCGGAACTTTGCCATGCTCACCGACTCCGATGAAGCCTACGCGCACATGATCCTGCAGGACGTCAACTGGAGCGTTGAAGCGGCCCTCGAAGTCCACTTTTCCCGGCAAAAAATAGAAGAACCAATGCAAGAAGTGGCCGAAGTCGAAGTAGCGGAGAGATCGGCTGAACGAGCCGGTGGGGGCGGTATTGATGGTCTTGAGATCAGTTATTCAGGCTTCTATCTAAAATTCGACTTCAGATCTCCCTCGTCACTTGGAACATCGATGGGCTCGACCTCAGCAGTCTCCGTACTCGAATGAAGGCCGTCTATTGCGTGCTCAAGCGGTCCGTACTTTGCGAATCTCTCGAAATCTCGAACTTTAGGATCAATCCCGATTTCATCTTCCTCCAGGAAGTCACCGAGCGGGAAATCGAGATTCTCGAGAAGCTTGGCGTATGGTTTTCTTTCCAGGAAGACCCGCATTTTTAGAGCATGTACAACATCTACTACTCGAATCGGTCTTCCCTGTACTTTACTGCTATCCTTGTGAGCAAGATGTTTGATGTCGTGGTACGCTTCGAATTTTTGTATCTTGAAGATAATTTTCAGAGCCACGAAGTGCACATGTTTGACAATTCAGGGATGGGCCGCTCCTTGCAAACCTTGGAAGTAGGTCGTTTGTGCTGTGTTTGAGTACAGTAATTTTAGGGACGCGTCGGACCCCACAAAATCTTCTTGCTCAACACTCATTTAGAAAGCATGGGCGAGCACAGCGACAAACGAAAGGTGGTTTTATTGATCCTCCAAAATATTTCCGGTTCAGGAACAACTCGCCTTTTCTTTGAACAAAATGGCGACCATCATCCGCAACAACCCGGACGCATCCGTCTTCTTTGGCGGTGATCTAAATGCCCGCGACGCGGAGGTAAAAGGACATGTTTTTTCTAGATTTTTGGCTTTTCAGGTCCCAGCATTGCCGCAAGGAGTCGGAGATGTCTGGCTGGCCGCCGGCGCGCCGAAGAAAGAACAATATACCTGGGACACGCAGCTGAATGACAACAAAAGTAGTGGACGTTTTGCTGCCCGTTGCCGTTTCGATAGGGTCACGATTTGATTTTTTTGAGACAATTGGCGGCTTCTTTGTCGTGTTGTAAAACTCTTTTTCAGGTGTTTTGGTATGGCCCGCTGCGCAATGTCACATTCTGTCTGGAGGGTAAGCAACGCATCCGGACCACCATGTGCTTCCCGAGTGACCATTGGGCGTTGCACTGCACCTTCAAATAATTATTGCTATCTCTATATTTTACTTCGTTTCTCGAATCGGTGTCCTTTACATGTATTTACGCAAATTTGCCTTTCTTTTATCTCCTCGTGGCCTCTTGAATGTGTTTGAACGGTGATCTCATGTCTGTAATCAACTTGTCGAAACCGGTGTTGAATAAAGTGCTTCCTAAAATACATCCGGTCTTCGACCAAGCTAGCGTCTTCAAGTGCCTTTGAGAAGAAAAAGGACAGGCTGCGATGGTGTTCGTGGAGCGGTCAAGATGGGCGGACAAGCCCACGACTTTCAAACGTCCCCTTACCCTCGCACAAGCTCTCCCTAAAAGGACAAGCAGGCGACGAGACGCGTTGATAACTTGATGATAGCGGGGAATTGTGCATGCCTAGCGTTTGTCGTTGAAATGGAAGGCCGCATCAAGGCTGCTGGTGCTGCGCGCGGTGATAGACCCCGGCATGGATGTCTCGATGAAGGACAGCAGTTTTGTGCATGGTCATTTTTTTGGTCGCAGCAGTGATCTTTTTTGTTTTTTTTTTTAGATGAGAGCCTATTTAGTAAGGGACTTCCAAACGTTCTTTAGTACTTGGATTACAATCAAATACAAAAGCAAAAACAAATTTTCAGGACCGGTGTGGGAGCGGATTGCCCCAGTTCGCGATCCCGATCTGTTTATTTTCATGGAAAGTGCAGGCGCGTATAAATTCTACGCGACTCGAGCATTTTGTGCGAGTTTAGACACGCCTCGATTTTTTTTGGAATTTTGAACGCTAGTCACATGGCATCACATTTTGGATGTAATGTACCCACCATCTTCTTCCCTGCATTCTTTAGAGGTTTCCCCGTATCACATGGACCCCCACCTACGTTAACACCATCAATCAACAACACCACGTGACGATGAGAGAAGACAGGCGATGCAACCTTCTCATGGCTTCTTATCAACGGGCCGGCTTCCTAGTAGCCTACCATGCCGTTTTGTGCTCGCCCCCCGCGTTCTGCCCCGAACAATAAAGCCTATCTTTGATGACGAGCGGCGTCAGCAAAATGGCGGGAAAGATTGTCAAAAGTTCCAGGGCGACCTTTTTGACGTTTCGCTATAGGCTGTTTCCGCAAAAACCTTTGGGGGTTTCTGGTTTTTAATTTAAATCCATGATTCAGGATCTTACTCTCCTACCAGAATGGGTATGGGGAATTAACCTAGCTTTAAAGTTTTGCGCAAGCTTTTCCGGTTCTGGTTCGTTAGCGGGGGGATTGGCCGGGACTTCCTTTATTCAGCCTAATCTACTGTGATAAAACCTAAACTTTTTATGATAATCTAGTAGCGTCCTTATAATAAAAGACGTAGAAGATATTTATGACACTTGTGACAAATAATTAAAAATTTCTCAACGATTTTAATGTTTTTTAGAAACATACAGATCCAAAAAGGCCTAAAAGGCCTAAATTCCTCTATTTCAGTTTTGGCGTCTCCAGGACAAAAAAAATGTAAAAAGTTATTTTCTCCTGTTCAAAATCCCCCCCCCGCTAACGAACCAGACCCGCTTTTCGTCATATTTTTTCAGCAAGAGCTTCCGCAACAACGATAGAGTTACACAGCCCAGCGATGGACCGCGCGCGATCAATTCCTGGGCCCCATGGGGCGCAACGGGGGCTCTAGCCCCTCCTCAGCTTTCGCATCTCTGCCCCGGCTTTTTCCGCTCCCCGTCCACCAGCTGTCTCATGATGCACGGCGCCGAGACACTTCCGCCTCATTTTCCCTGGGTCCATCAGCACTGAAAGCCGACGTTTGCATCGGATTTTCTGGGAAAATGTCGTGGAATGTCTGGCCCAAAACATTGAATTTAAGTGCACTTCAATTCGCGAACGGTGCCCGGTTTTCCATTGAATTCCCATTCCTATGGCTTGTCTACGGCGTTTTTCATTGTCATTTTTCAGGGTTTGCCCTCGGGCGTCATGGCGTCCTCGGCGGATGTCGGCTCCGGGCCACCTCAAAAGATCCGCTTACGTTTTACAGGTAAGTATGTTAAGGTTGCATTTTTCAGTGCTTTCACTTGATTCAAATATTGGCTAGATTTCAAGTAAAAACTATCTAAAAATCCCTAGAAAATTTTACGACGTTTTAAAGAACAGTTCGTGTCAGCGATTTTGACAAGGACCAACAAATTATTGGCTTTTATATTCAGAATCAATTTATTTTTTAGTTGAAACCGATGAACTCGGCGAAGATGAAGCTCTTTTCGTTGTCGGATCCGTGCCCGAGCTCGGCATGTGGGAGCCGGCAGATGCTCTTGCTTTGCTGCGGTGCCCAGACACGTAATTTTCCGAAGCTTATGAGTAATTTTTTTTTGCAGGCGCCGCTGGATTGGTTCCATCGAGACCTCGGAGATCGAGGTGAAGTTCCGCTACTTCTCTGCTTACAACCTATGCTCCGAGACGGCAACTCGTTTGATTGTTTGTAAGTTTCTTAGATTTTTTCCTTCCAATTTCAATCTAGCACGCTGGGAATCTTTTTTGCAACCCCGTTCGTGCATGATGCAGATTGCGGCTCGGGATGGCGAAGCCCGCGCTCAAGTCGTCGACATTTTCGGGTTTTATGGTAATTTTTTTGCTGTTGTCCGGCTTTTTCACGGGCATAAAACCTTCAACACATTTTTTCCAGCTGGCCGGCGCCTCTTATCGGATGGCTGGCTTCAGTATGAGGACGAAAATGCTGTTTTCATCAGAATTCACGGGAAAGCGCTGAAGTTTTACAACAAGCAAGAGCGCAAGAACTGCCAGATCAAATGCACACCGCTCGATGTGCGAAGAAAAATGGTAAAGATAATGCTTTCTCGTAAAATTAGGGTTTTAGGCGCCCTCGACCTTGCCGGCTTCAGCAGCGGTGGATGAGGAAATGGACGACGATAGCAATGATATGCCACTGACCGATTATCCATCTCATTCGGTTTCCCTTGTCGCTGTAAGTTCTCGGAATGTTTTTGGCATTTCTGGTTTAGGTCCTTTCCTCTGATAAGTCAAGCTTCCGCCGGCAGAAGGAGCAGGGTGTTGTATTCAACAACTTGAAGGACTATGTCGTATTCAAGACGCATTCGGTCGCTGTTGATTACTTGGTTAGTCATCTATATATCTAGATATGTATAGAAATGCCATAGCAACTATGTGAATAGCGGTTTTTAGTAAAATGTAGCTATGTTTTAATCGCAAATTTTTGAGAAAGCTTGCAAAAGTTTCTGAGAATTTCAAAGTTTGGTGGAGTCGGAACTATCTTTTTGGACGACTAAAAAAATTTAGGGTTTTTAGAATAGTAAACAAATCCTAGAAACCTGATTTGAACGAAAGTAAAGAACCCTTTTTCCTCTTTACTTACAATTTTTACAGTTTTATTTTTCAGGCCTTTCTTCTCGAGGTCTTCTCCGAGGAGGGAAAACGCATCGGCGCCTGCTACGCCATGCCCGCCTCGCTAGAAGACACCTTTGGTCGCACGGGCCTCCCGATCGTCAACAGCCAGCTCCGTCCAATTGGCCAAATCATGGGTATCACGATTCTAATCTTTTATATACCTCGCTTTAGTTGAGTACCTCTTCGTGCGCAATTTGCGCCGTCCGCACCTGTCGCAAACGATGGAGGTCAGCTTCTGCCATCACTGGAAGAAGCGCGGTGCGATCGAGGTCGGCCATCGTGGCATGGGCAATTCGTATACAAAGTAAGCTATCTTTTTGCATTTAGCTTGTCTTTTCCGCTTAGAGCCTGAGAATGAAATCGGATTTTTAGAATGGCTCAAGTCCGCGAGAACACCGTGCATTCCCTGAATCAGGCAGCGCGAAACGGAGCCGATTTTGTCGAATTTGACGTGCAGATGACCAAGGATAAGGTTAGCAATTGTCCAAACTTAAAAACCGTAAATGCAAATTAAAAAATTTTGCTTTTATTACAAATTTAATAATAACAAAGCAGATTTTTTACCTTATTCTTTAATTATATATTTATTCACAGAAATAATTCTTTTTCAGAAAGCCGTAATCTACCACGATTTCCACGTGCTCGTTTCTGTGGCAAAACGACTTTCGGCGGACGTGGATTTGGACACTCTTGGTGAGAAAGGGTTCTCACTTTTCAGCGCTCTCCTGACCTTACCTTCATTTCCGCTTTCCAGATGACGATGACCTCAAAAAGCTCGACTTCCAAGAGATGCCCCTCAAAGACCTGAAGCTCAGCCAGCTACGGCTGTTGATGGTTAGCACCGGGTTGAACTGTGTAACCCCGTCTAGATGAATCACCTGAAGTACGACAAAATCGCCGAAGCCAAGAAGCTGTGCGGCGACGATTTTGAGGTGATTTCAGTTTTGCTTGGAAATTCAACTTTTTAGGAGGCTGACCATCGCCCATTTCCACTGCTTTCGGATGCGCTTGTTCGCGTAGATATCGACGTCGGCTTCAACATTGAAGTGAAGTACCCTATGATGCAGGCGGTAGGGTTTTTTTGATAAAAGATGATGAACCCGGCTTAGGACGGAACCCACGAATGCGACAACTATTTCGAGCGCAACGAATTTGTGGACTACGTCTTGGCTGGTGCGAAAAATACACAAATACGACGTTTTTTGTAGATGTTCTAAAGTACGCCGGACAGCGCCGAATCATGTTCAGCTCGTTCGATCCGGACATTTGCTCACTGTAAGGTTTTTCGCCTTGTTTTATTCCGTTTTTCAGCATCGCCCTGAAGCAGAACCGATACCCGTGCTCTTTCCTTTGCATCGGCGACACGCAACGCTACGTTCCATTTACGGTTAGGTTTTTTAGAGTCTTGGATTTAATCCTTTCTTCAGGACCAGCGTACGTCGACGTCGATGACGGCCGTCAACTTCGCTTCTGGCATTGATTTGCTGGTCAGTACATTTTTTTGAATTCCAACTAGCCTCGAATATTTTAGGGAGTCAACTTCAACAGCGAAGATTTGCTCAAGGACCCACTGCCCGTGCTTCGCGCCAACGAGCTTGGCTTGGTGGGTATTTCAGGCCTTGTTAACGGGTATTGGAAATATAACGAAAAAATTAATCTGTGCATCTAAAATAGATCATCTTATATTTCTGGATTCTAGAAACATAAAAAAAATCTCCCAAAAATGCCTTTTTATCGAAAAATATATCTAAAAGTTTCTTAAAATATTTTTGATATCTCTTGATTAATTAATATTTAATATAACTTACCCATTGAATTTTTTTAGGTGACATTCGTCTGGGGCGACGACCTGGACCGCAAGGACATTTGCCATTACTTCAAGCGAGAATTAGGTGTCGATGGCGTCATCTACGACAGGTAAGCTTTTTCAAAACAATTCAATTTTTCGTTTCAGAATTGGCGAAGAGGAGCGCCGGCGTAACGTATTTATTGTGGAGCGCGAGCAGAAGCGGGCCTTGTTCAAATATGAAACGTGGGATTTGACAAACTATCTTTATCTCTCTTTTTAGGGGTGGCCAGGCCAGCGGAAGCTCGACGCCCAGGGCTCGATCGCCCGACTCGGGCATGGGCCAGTTCAACCTCAGCACCGGCAGCTTTGTTTCTGGTATCTTTTAAGTGGCGGTTGTCACGGGGGTGATACGCACCGGGGCACTCGTTTTACTGCTAACCGAAAGTAGCCTGCAGATTTGATAAATAAATACTTCACTTCTCTAATCGATAAAATCTGCTTAATTCTGCTATTCTCTCTCTTAATCCGTCCAAAAAAAGGCGCCAGTGAGGAGAAAATAGCTGTAAAAACTGAAAAAATTCAGAAAAATTTACTTCGTCCAAAGACCAATTTTGATCTTTTGTTTTCACACGATTCCTATTTCATATTCCATCAAAAAGACGCCAATGGCTGGAAAATGATCTAGAAAACGCCAAAAATCGCCAAAAAATTATTAAGGCCGAATGACGCCATTCCGCCCATTATTTACGTGTTTGCGTAAAAAAGCGTTTTTCGGCGCTCTATTGTTGATTGCCATCTAGATAATTAAATTGTAAATTTTTTATACAAAAGATCAGGGATTTAATAGTATTTTTCTAATTTCTACAGGCCATTTCCGATGCCAGTGAAGCGAGTGCCCATGTATGTTTTGCCCCTCGTCTTTTCTCTGCATGTATCTCCGCAATCATTGGTGTAATCGTCTAGTTCATACATCATCGAGCCATCTGTTTTTAGCCTGGGGATATCGGGGCTTCCCGAATAAGCAATCGATGAATTGGTGAAGCGCCTTTATGTGCTTCTTGTCCTCTCGCACATGTCCCCCGAGCGTGCGTTTGAAATAACTGGGGACACATACAGAATTGTTAGCAGTTGCAGGCTCCGTCAGTGACCCCGAACAGCCACAGACGCCGCCATTCGCCGAGGTGTCCAGCACGTCCATTTCCAAATCCCCGGAAGCCCTCTCCACGTCGCCACGGCCCAACATGCAACAGTCCTAGCCCACCTAGCTACCCTTATTTCTTTTCTGATTCGATTCTGTGAGCTGACCCCACCATTTCATTCCCCCCTCCTATACCGGTCTGTTTTCCGCCCCGCCATTTGCTTTGTTTGATGGAGCTTATTTGAATTTTGTGTGACGAGATTTCGGCTGGCTTGGTCGAGACCGTAATTTAGCACCAATTTTTTAGCGTCTCTCGTTACGGGTTTTTTTTGGTATTTCCAGCGGGAAAACAATATTGATAAAGAAGAAAGTCCCTGAAACTTTCAAGGTGTGCCAATTATTTTTCCTTTTGCAATTTTAAAATGTCTTGTACGACATTTTTTAATTTTCAAGAATTTTAAAATTGTGTGGCTTTTAGAATAGAAAAAAAACTATTTTGAATCTCATTTCTAGTTGTATTAGAGAAATTGATGCCTAAGAAAAAAATGTTGCCCATCGCTGGAAATACCAAAGAACCCCTCGTTTGCTCGTTTTCTGTGTCTCTGAAAGCACAAAAAAAGCTAGCCTTCCCCCTTTTTTCGTGTGCCTATATACCTATTCTCCACTCGCGTATCCCGATGAACCGGCAGAATGTGTGTGACGATAAAGTATTTATCAAAGCCCGCACAAAATGCACACGGCAAGATTTCGCGTCGAGTGCAATTTGGCTCGATCGGTTTTATCTTTATTGAGAGAGCTGTTTATCTGGCCCGAGCGGCGGCGGAGCATTGATCTTGGCAATTCTTCGATTTCAGGCGGCCCCCGGCCGGGATTCGACGTTTTTTTTTGGCTTGCTGTGAATTTGAAGTTATCGAGCGCTGATGGGTAATCAAGTTTCGAACAGCGGCTCTTCAGTCGAAAAGAATGTGTCGGATAGGGAAAGCGAACGCGAGAAGTCTCTTTTTTGCTTATAAACGTAACCGGAAGAGGGCTGGAACGGGTATGCTTTGAGCTCATCGAAAAGAGCGGAAAAATTTTTTCTGTAGAAGCTTGCTTTCTTATTCCAATAGAGGCTTAATTTCAAATTTAGATATGCAAGAAGTTGGTTTTTAGTAATTGTAAAAATATCCGGAAACGTGCTTCATCTACCCCCTTTCCGAACTCGGGGACAAAAACTTGGGCTCTATCCATGTTTTCTTACCCCCAGACTTTGGCCGTTCTTTGGGTGTTCAATGGAATCTTCTCCTCGTCCGCCACTTGCCCCCTTTTTTACTTCTTCTTTTCTTCCCGGGCCCCACATGACCCGCTCTCGAGCCCAAATCCAGCCGTAAACTAGTGCCCCGTCCCTTATTTTGGATAGATCACCGAAGAATGAACCAGTTTTCCGCGATGCGAGCTTTTTCCTCGCTGGCCAGGTAGTAAAAGTTATATTTTTTATGTTTATAGCTCAAAAGCTTTTTCGTAGGGTTGTGGCGCTCAAAAACTCGTGTTAAAAATTGGGTTTTTATGGCTTAAAGAATTAGAAAAATGCTAGAGTGTTTTAAAGCAGATATTGCAGAGAAACGATCTTTTTATGATATTAATTTTTTGATTTTTTTACCTTTTACATGCTTTGAAATTTGCTAGGAGTGCTTTTTTCATTTTTATTGTAATTTTAGTGCATAAAAAGTTTAAGGGGCAAAAAGCGGAAATCAATGGTTTTTATTAAAATTTTACTTTTCAGCTCCATGAAGGTGGCGATCGTCGGCGAAGGGGTCGTCGGGCTCAGCACGGCGCTCACAGTGCGCGAACGGCATCCTAACGCGAAGGTTTCAGTTTTTGAAAATTTACAAATTTGCTTTTAGATCAACATCATCTCGGACCGCAAATTCGAACAGGCCTGCTCCTACGGCCCGGCCGGGCTTTTTAGGATCGATGCCCCGAAGAACAAGTAAAATATTTGATTTATTTTTAAGTTTCATTTTTAGGGAATACGGCCGCGTGACGTTCCATCGCTTTGAGGAGCTTTGTAAAAAATACCCTGGCAGCCGAACCGGGCTGAAGTTACTCTCCGGCCACATTCAGTCGGACGACAAGGAAAGGCTGGCATCTCAGGTAGATTTCTTACCTATTTTTCTGGCTATTTTTATGCGTTTAAACTCGTTCTGCGGAACCTTTTTTATCTTTAGAAATTTAGCGTTGTTTTTCCAGGTCTTTTGCTTTCATAAATTTGAAGAATAAGAATTTTACATTCATTTTACATTTCTGTACTCTAATTTTTTTAGCCCTTCTACTTATTTTACTTAACTTTTTCTATATTTTGTAATTTTATGGATTTTTTTTGTTTAGGAAAAATCGATGGGCGACATTGTCTACAATTTCCGGTGGCTCACCCAACGCGAAATTGACGGCATGTGGGAGAACCCGAATAAGTGCGTCGTTTAAATTCGAAAAAATATATTAAAAACGATTTATAATAAGATTTCTGTTTTTTTTTCAGGTACGTAATCCACTACACGGCCTATGCGTCCGAGGGCTCGATTTATGTGCCGTTCCTGAAATCGCTTTGCCTGGACAAGGGCATCAATTTTGAGCATCGACCTATTAAGAAAATTGATGAGGTACGGGACACTTATAAGTTGTAAAATCATAAGTTTTTTTAGCTTGGCAACGAGTACGAGGTGGTGTTCAACTGCGCCGGGATCGACGGCGGCAAGCTGGCCGGGGATGACGATACGATGGTGCCGAGTCGAGGCGTTGTGCTGGAGGTGAGTTCGTAGACGATTTTGTTCGTTTGTCTTATCGGGGGGTGTCTTCAAGCGGAGAAACTATCTAAAAACATAGAAAATTTCTAACTAAAACTCTTTTTTTTCAAAATTGGTATTTTTAAGTTTAGGAATATTAAAAATTCTCCTCCCCCGATAATGCACAAGCACCATCTGACGATATGACATTAAATGAACAAAATGTATTCATACGTTTTAGAAAAAAGGTTTAATCGGTTGAGGTATTTTTTCGTATTCGCGGTTTTTCGCTATTCGAATTTTACTACGCTTTTTTGCTGAATTTCGATATAAAATTGCAATCCAACTTTAGGTAGAAGCCCCGTGGCACAAGCACTTCAACTACCGCAACTTCGACACGTTCACCATCCCGAAGAACAACACGGTGGCCATCGGCACGGTGAAGGTGATGGGCGACGGCCGGCTGGAGATCACCCAGGCCGACCGGGACGACATCATGGCCCGCTACCTGAAGCTTCACTCGGCGATGAAGGTGTGTTTTGATTTTCCGATAATTTTACGCATTTTAGGACGCGAAAGTGGTCAAGGAATGGGTCGGACTACGCCCCGAACGCCCAGCCGGGGTGCGTATCGAGCGTCAGCAGCGCGAAACGCCCAGCGGCCAGAAATTTACGGTATTTGGGAAAGTATGAATTTTATGGATTTCTAGGTTGTGCATAACTACGGACACGGGCCAAATGGCTTCACGCTGAGCTGGGGCACGGCGCAGGCGGCTGCGAAACTGATCGAGGACCTCACGTCGACTAGGAGCAAATTGTAGACGGCACGCTCGCTACCCCTATTTTGGTTGTGAATAAACTTTTTTTGAGTTTTTGTGATCAGAAACTGCGTCGCCGCGCTGTGTTTTCCACATTGAACTCTTCCACGGCATCATCTGGCATTTCCAACGCCTTTTTATCGGTCTACCACACCTCAACGAGCTCGAAACAGGGAAATGCACCTGCTCGCGCTCGCCGGGGACAATGTGTGTAGGCGAAAGTGGAAAACTGAAAAAAGGGCTGCCTAAACCGAAACGGGATTGAACCTGTGAAATGTCACGGTTCACGCCGGATCCACCTGCATGGGCCCCGGGCGTCACCCCCCGGCTTTTACATTCAACCCGCGGGGCCAACGACGAGGTCGCTGACCGGATCAAAGGGCAATGGGCAAAAGCGGGGGCGACGAAGCGCGTAATCATTTTAAGAGGATTTCTGTTTTATAGGGCAATGAATAAAAAGAAAATGTTATTGTTTGTTTGTATTTTTCTGGGCAGCTGCGAGTTGTTTTGTAGGCCTAAACGGTACAAATATTCTGATACCATAATTTATTTAAAAAAGCTAAAATTAAAAGTAAGTACATTATATGAATGGTTTATTCAACCGGGTTTTAAAAGTAAAAAGCTATGTTTTGTGTTACGAAAGCTCTATGACACTTTAGTGTTTCGACGTTGGTTTTCAAGTTTTATGAAATTTGTAAGTTTTCGTATACAATAATTAACTGAAAGCCTTGACAGTGAGGCAAGAACTGTATTTTCTAGTATAAATACCTTAAAAAGGCCTTTCAGTAATGCACTTACGCGAAATAAATCCTTTCTACTCCCATTTTTAAAACTTTTTCGTATAAATCGTGGCCATTTCTCGCAAAAAATTCCACAGCTAGTTAAAAGTTACATTTCTCGGTGGGAAATCTTTTAAAACGGTTTAATTTGATAGTTTCCACGATATTTAAGCGAATCCTTCTTTTTAATTCTTTTTTGGGCTACGGTTTACTTTACCCCCCCCCCCAGCCGGAAGTTTTTGGCTATAACTTTTTTATTTTACATTATTGTAGGCTCAAATTAAAACTCTTAGTATATTTTTCGACGCTCTATCGAATGGCGTTGCGAAAATCCCGACAAAATAAGCGAAAATACCGACAACTTTGAGGCCCTTCGGCTGTGGGGGGGGGTAAAGTAAACTCTTAGCTTTGTATGATTTTGTATGATATATAGGTTTTTTTGTATGATTTTGTATAGCAGTGACTAACTTTGTTTTTGTTTATTTGATAAAAAAACTTAACCATCTTTCCGCCAACCCGTTTTGGAACAGCCCCCGTGCCTGGATTTTTCATAGCCCCAAAATTAATGGGCTCTCCATTCGAGCCCGCTAATAGCCGCCCTTGGCACTGATAATCTGCAGTGTTGCCGGCCATTCAAGCAAATAACACAACATTTTGCACGTCCCCCAATAGATACTGGCCCGCGGCGGTGGCGGCGCCGCTCGTGCCTCCCGAAATAAGTTCACCGCGCCTTTTCATGGCCCAAAAATACGAGGGCATGGTGCCAGGTGGGGTGCCGAATAAGGGGGAGCGGGCACGTAGCTGCTCAAAGCCGAGGTGACCACAGGCGCGTCGAGCTGGGGGAAATGCACGCGCAACCCGGCGGCTGGTTAATGAGCCCTGTTTTTTTGGGGGTTTGTGGTTGACCATTCTGGATGGAAGTTGGGCTGCAGCACGTGTGCTGTGGGCCTATTAAAAGCAGCAGTTTCCGGGGGGAATGTAAAACTAGAATCTAGGAAAAATAAGGGTGTACCGGCCATCTAGGTCTTTCCGCCAAATTATTTTTGCTGCTTCATTCGTTTCAGCCCTTACTGCTTCTTTTCGTGCAGAAAAACTAAAATTTTGGGCGAGTACCGTAAAGTAGTCACCCCCGTATACTACTTTACGGTACCCGATCTCAAAACTAAAATGAGGTTTTCTCCCCTAAAAAGTGCCTTCCGCCACCTAATTTTTGTCGCTGAGTCCGTTTCTGACCTTTATTTAGCGATTTGAACACAAAAAAAACCGCATTTTGGGAGAGTACCGTAAACCTGAATTTTCCCAAACCGTACTAGCCCTCGAAAATAGGGCCCACGGAAGAAAAACAATATCGCTGTAAAAAACCATAACGACCGCCGTATTTTCTCGGGGCCGGCTGCAAATGGCAGAGAAAACGGAAATGGAATGTCTGAGTTTGTGTCTCGTAGCGATAGGGATACGGTAGCTTACAAGGAAAGGGGTTACGGTATGAACGGCGACGGTTTGTGAAACTATAGAATTAGATGCCGTAATCGGACCCGGAAACTATTGTAAAGTGAAGTTGGCTTGACGTATAAGCTACGGTAGTTTTCGAGGAACCGAATTTGGGGCATTGACCTTATGTGAACGCTTTTCGCAAATGATCTCTGCTAGCCTACCCTAATCCAGTTATGTGGCGTAATCGGTTGCGCAGAAACGATTCCTACCTAAAAAGTCTCTGCTAGCATGCCTCTTTCGTTGAAATTACTGTCGTGTTAGCGATTGAATTGAGTGGCGTAATCGGGTGTCAGAACTATTTTTAATGCTCTCTGCTAGCCTGCCTTTCAGGCCATGCCTACTGTAGTTTTCACAATGCCGTTTTCGATGGCGTAATCGGATCTGAAAAACAATTTTTCAAGTGATTTCTGCGTTTGGAGATCTCTAATTAGGTTTTTTTTTGATTTTTTTAGAAAGTTTGTCAAACAAATGCCGCTAGCATACTTTTTCTCAACACACGATTACGGTAGCTTTAGTTGCCGATTAAGATGTCGTAATCGGATGCCAGAATTTTCAAGTGATTACGAATCGAATAATTTTTTTCGAGGATTTCGAGGATTCGAGAAGAGTCGATTTTCGACTAAATACCATTTTTCCAACACTTGATTACGGTAGTTTTTAGTTGCCATTTAGCTGCCGTAATTGGATGTGAAATCGTTTTTAAAATGTATTTTAACACCAGATTACGGTAGTTTTTAGCTGCCTGAATCAGATACGCAACGCGAATAAAATTACGAGATTGTCTCTGTTGCCCTCCAAAACCTGTAATATGTTTTAGATCCCTCAAAAAACTTGTTTTCCTGCTCCAGGCCCAATTTTCCAAACTTACCGGACCTCACGAACCACCCCACCGCCCCAATGGTCATCTCCCCGTGGTTCGGCACGTATTTTGGCGTGGCGCGGAGTGGAGCAGAGTCAAAAAAGCACTTCCGGGACGCGACCATAATCTGCTCCTTTCCCCCCATTGAGGTCCTGCTCTCCAAATCCGGGGGGAATTCCAGGTAAGCGAGTCTTTCTAGGCGTTCAGACATCGCCGCCGGCTAGAGTAAACCGGATGTTCCTAGGGAGGAGGTGACTTTTCGGAAAAAATACCGGATTAATTTGTTTGGAGGAGCCGGAATTTGAATCCCGGGGAGCAGGAGCTCTCAATGGACCTGGAAAGCAAATTTTTACATTTTTCAAAAAACCAGAAATCACGCGCGGTTAGCCGTGATCTTCGAAAATTGTGTGGTTTAAGCTGATGCTCAGGCTCAGGCTCAGGCTTAGCCTTAGGCCTAAGCGAACGCTTACTGCTAGAAAAGATTCTTAAAGAAAATCGGATCGCGTCACACGCTTTCATACCTACCGTAATCGCGTCAATTTTTTTAATGTATTAGATTCAATTAAAGTTAGAGACAAAAGACTGAAATAGGCAATTTTCGGGATTTAATAAAAGACCAGGGTTGAAAAGCCGCTACGCGGCTTTTCACCCCTGGCCTTCGTACACGGAACCCTGAAAGTTGGGCACTTTGCATCTTTCGAGCGCAGAGCGAGAGTGAATCCAAAAACGGTAAAAGCAACCGGCCGCTAGCGCGACAAAATTCGAAATGAGCCTCCTAGCGCCTGGTATGCAAATGAGGATATTTCCATATGTTTTAAAATAACTAAAATAAGGTATAAATCGTCATTTTATTAAAAATCTGATAAGCTTGCAGTAATATACGCCCTCGACTACCCCTAAATACTTTTCGACTGGGTCCTAAAATTGATCCCCATTCCCGATATCTTAGTAACCCGGTTTTTTTTCGAGCCATTTATGTAAAGTGTCCACACACACACATGAACTATTTTTTTATATCCTACTATATATAAAAAAATAGTGTTTGTGTGTTTGTGTGTGGACTACTGACTTACTGCAAGCTTATCAGATTTTTAATAAAATGACGATTTATACCTTATTTTAGTTATTTTAAAACATATGGAAATAACCTCATTTGCATAAGAGCGTTAGGAAGCTCATTTCGGATTTTGTCACGCTCTCAGTCGGTCGCTTTTGCGATTATTAGGGTTGAGAGGTTGGCGCTAATTCGCTAGAATTATGCAAATGCCCAGCTTCGAGGGATCTCCGCGCAAAGGCCAGGGGTGAAAAGCCGCGTAGCGGGTTTTCAACCCTGGTAATAAAAGAATAAAAGATACGTAGTGTAAACTGACGAAGCGGTTTTGAAGTGGGCTTAAGCCATCTAAGCCCACTTAGCTGACATGAGCCACTTGGATTAACTGTCCCTGATCCCTTGTGCTTCCTAAATTTAGCCGACCCCCAGACCCCAGACAGCCCGGATGACTCGGCTTGTGCCTCCCTGTGATGCCGGTGGGGGTATACTGTACCACCTGAATTCCAAAACCTTCCAAAGATCACGTCCCACCGCCCCGCCACCACCCCAATTTGGGCCCCCCTCGATTTTCCGGTGCGCCACCCCCCGGTTTCACCTGGCGGGTGGCGACGCCTGAAAACGAGGTGCGCCGCCTGTTCTTCGGGTTTTTGAGAAAAGTACGGATGGAACCGGGGAACTTCCCGGACCACAGGGTTCGTCATCTGGAACTGTGGCCGGACTGTACGGATTCAGGGCTCAAAAACCGTGAGCAAACTAGCAAAGAGCATTTGGGAAAGGCCAGAAAACCATCATTTGGGTCGTAAGAGCTGGTGAGGTA